TATATGTACTTGTATGATCAGGTGTGTCATGTGTACTTGTATGATCAGGTGTGTCATATGTACTTGTATGATCAGGTGTGTCATATGTACTTGTATGATCATGTGTTATATGTACTTGTATGATCATGTGTTATATGTACTTGTATGATCATGTGTTATATGTACTTGTATGATCATGTGTTATATGTACTTGTATGATCATGTGTTATATGTACTTGTATGATCATGTGTGTATATGTGTTGTTGTATGATCATGTGTGTCTTGTATGTATGTGTTGTATGTACTTGTATGATCATGTGTTATATGTACTTGTATGATCATCATGTGTTGTATATGTACTTGTATGATCATGTGTTATATGTACTTGTATGATCATGTGTTATATGTACTTGTATGATCATGTGTTATATGTACTTGTATGATCATGTGTTATATGTACTTGTATGATCATGTGTTATATGTACTTGTATGATCATGTGTTATATGTACTTGTGTATGATCATGTGTGTTATATGTACTTGTATGATCATGTGTTATATGTACTTGTATGATCATGTGTTATATGTACTTGTATACATGTGTATGTATCATGTGTTATATGTACTTGTATGATCATGTGTTATATGTACTTGTATGATCATGTGATTATATGTACTTGTATGATCATGTGTTATATGTATGTACTTGTATGATCATGTGTTATATGTACTTGTATGATCATGTATGATCATGTGTACTATGTATGATCATGTGTTATATGTACTTGTATGATCATGTGTTATATGTACTTGTATGATCATGTGTTATATGTACTTGTATGATCATGTGTTATATGTACTTGTATGATCAGGTGTGTTATATGTACTTGTATGATCATGTGTTATATGTACTTGTATGATCATGTGTTATATGTACTTGTATGATCATGTGTTATATGTACTTGTATGATCATGTGTTATATGTACTTGTATGATCATGTGTTATATGTACTTGTATGATCATGTGTTATATGTACTTGTATGATCATGTGTTATATGTACTTGTATGATCATGTGTTATATGTACTTGTATGATCATGTGTTATATGTACTTGTATGATCATGTGTTATATATGTACTTGTATGATCATGTGTTATATGTACTTGTATGATCATGTGTGTTATATGTACTTGTATGATCATGTGTTATATGTGTACTTGTATGATCATGTGTTATATGTACTTGTATGATCATGTGTATATGTACTTGTATGATCATGTGTTATATGTACTTGTATGATCATGTGTGTATATATGTACTTGTATGATCATGTGTTATATGTACTTGTATGATCATGTGTTATATGTACTTGTATGATCATGTGTTATATGTACTTGTATGATCATGTGTTATATGTACTTGTATGATCATGTGTTATATGTACTTGTATGATCATGTGTTATATGTACTTGTATGATCATGTGTATATATGTACTTGTATGATCATGTGTTATATGTACTTGTATGATCATGTGTTATATGTACTTGTATGATCATGTGTATATATGTACTTGTATGATCATGTGTTATATGTACTTGTATGATCATGTGTTATATGTTATATGTACTTGTATGATCATGTGTTATATGTACTTGTATGATCATGTGTATGATGTATGTCATGTGTTTATATGTACTTGTATGATCATATGTGTTATATGTACTTGTACTTGATCATGTGTTATATGTACTTGTATGATCATGTGTTATATGTACTTGTATGATCATGTGTTATATGTACTTGTATGATCATGTGTTATATGTACTTGTATGATCATGTGTTATATGTACTTGTATGATCAGGTGTGTCATATGTACTTGTATGATCATGTGTTATATGTACTTGTATGATCATGTGTTATATGTACTTGTATGATCATGTGTTATATGTACTTGTATGATCATGTGTTATATGTACTTGTATGATCATGTGTTATATGTACTTGTATGATCATGTGATCATGTGTGATCATATGTACTTGTATGATCATCATGTGTTATATGTACTTGTATGATCATGTGTTATATGTACTTGTATGATCATGTGTTGTATGATATGTACTTGTATGATCATGTGTGTTATGTATATATGTACTTGTATGATCATGTGTTATATGTGTGTATATCATGTGTTATATGTACTTGTATGATCATGTGTTATATGTACTTGTATGATCATGTGTGTATATGTACTTGTATGATTATATGTGTGTATATGTACTTGTATGATCATGTGTTATATGTACTTGTATGATCATGTGTTATATGTACTTGTATGATCATGTGTTATATGTACTTGTATGATCATGTGTTATATGTACTTGTATGATCATGTGTTATATGTACTTGTATGATCATGTGTTATATGTACTTGTATGATCAGGTGTGTCATATGTACTTGTATGATCATGTGTTATGTACTTGTATGTACTTGTATGTACTTGTATGATCAGGTGTGTTATATGTACTTGTGTATGATCATGTGTGTATATGTACTTGTATGATCATGTGTTATATGTACTTGTATGATCATGTGTTATATGTACTTGTATGATCATGTGTTATATGTACTTGTATGATCATGTGTTATATGTACTTGTATGATCATGTGTTGTATGTACTTGTATGATCATGTGTTATATGTACTTGTATGATCATGTGTTATATGTACTTGTATGATCATGTGTTATATGTACTTGTATGATCATGTGTTATATGTACTTGTATGATCAGGTGTGTTATATGTACTTGTATGATCATGTGTTATATGTACTTGTATGATCATGTGTTATATGTACTTGTATGATCATGTGTGTATATGTACTTGTATGATCATGTGTTATATGTACTTGTATGATCATATATGTACTTGTATGATCATGTGTTATATGTACTTGTATGTGTTATATCTTGTATGATCATGTGTGTGTATATTGTATCATGTGTTATATGTACTTGTATGATCATGTGTTATGTATGATGTTATATGTACTTGTATGATCATGTGTCATATGTACTTGTATGATCATGTGTTATATGTACTTGTATGATCATGTGTTATATGTACTTGTATGATCATGATCATGATCATGTGTGTATATGTACTTGTATGATCATGTGTTATATGTACTTGTATGATCATGTGTTATATGTACTTGTATGATCATGTGTTATATGTACTTGTATGATCATGTGTCATATGTACTTGTATGATCATGTGTTATATGTACTTGTATGATCATGTGTGTGATCATGTGTTATATGTACTTGTATGATCATGTGTTATATGTACTTGTATGATCATGTGTTATATGTATATGTACTTGTATGATCATGTGTTATATGTACTTGTATGATCATGTGTTATATGTACTTGTATGATCATGTGTTATATGTACTTGTATGATCATGTGTTATATGTACTTGTGTGTTATATGTACTTGTATGATCATGTGTTATATGTGTATGATCATGTGTATATGTACTTGTATGATCATGTGTTATATGTACTTGTATGATCATGTGTTATATGTACTATATGATACTTGTATGATCATGTGTTATATATGTACTTGTATGATCATGTGTTATATGTACTTGTATGATCATGTGTTATATGTACTTGTATGATCATGTGTTGTATGTACTTGTATGATCATGTGTTATATGTACTTGTATGATCATGTGTTATATGTACTTGTATGATCATGTGTTATATGTACTTGTATGATCATGTGTTATATGTACTTGTATGATCATGTGTTATATGTACTTGTATGATCATGTGTTATATGTACTTGTATGATCATGTGTTATATGTACTTGTATGATCAGGTGTGTCATATGTACTTGTATGATCATGTGTTATATGTACTTGTATGATCAGGTGTGTCATATGTACTTGTATGATCATGTGTTATATGTACTTGTATGATCATGTGTTATATGTACTTGTATGATCATGTGTTATATGTACTTGTATGATCATGTGTATATGTACTTGTACTTGTACTTGATCATGTGTTATATGTACTTGTATGTACATGTGTGTTATATGTACTTGTATGATCATGTGTTATATGTACTTGTATGATCAGGGTGTTCATATGTACTTGTATGATCATGTGTCATATGTACTTGTATGATCAGGTGTTTCATATGTACTTGTATGATCATACTATGTACTTGTATGATCAGGTGTGTCATATGTACTTGTATGATCATGGTGTTCATATGTACTTGTATGATCATGTGTGTATATGTACTGTATTGTATGATCAGGTGTGTCATATGTACTTGTATGATCATGTGTTGTATGTACTTGTATGATCATGTGTTATATGTACTTGTATGATCAGGTGTGTCATATGTACTTGTATGATCAAGTGTGTCATATGTACTTGTATGATCATGTGTTTCATATGTACTTGTATGATCAAGTGTGTCATATGTACTTGTATGATCATGTGTTATATGTACTTGTATGATCAGGTGTTTCATATGTACTTGTATGATCAGGTGTGTCATATGTACTTGTATGATCATGTGTTATATGTACTTGTATGATCATGTGTTATATGTACTTGTATGATCAGGTGTGTCATATGTACTTGTATGATCAAGTGTGTCATATGTACTTGTATGATCAAGTGTGTCATATGTACTTGTATGATCAGGTGTTTCATATGTACTTGTATGATCAAGTGTGTCATATGTACTAGTATGATCAGGTGTGTCATATGTACTTGTATGATCAGGTGTGTCATATGTACTTGTATGATCAAGTGTATCACGGGTATGTGTGTGATCAGGTAAAAAAAAAAAACAATTAAAAAATAAAATAGAAGATTGTGACCAGAAATGTGACTGCCCAATTCTTTGAATTATGTGTCAGAAGTTTGTGGTTATTGTATTGTGACTCAGTTACGACAGCTCTGACATGATCTCATGTCTTCTGCAGCAAACAGCTGGGTGGCTGGACTTCTACGCCACTGTAGGAGGTTGTGTATCCGGCCTTTTGGTATGTAGGTGAGTCACCTAGTTACACCCCCCCCCCACCTTGCACCCAAACGCCTTCTTCCCAGCTGCTAAATACATGATTTAAAATGTCCTTTGTCTTTTGATACATGTGTAGTTCAACTCCAGTGCCAACAATGGGTAGCACATCATGCCATGACAAGTGAGAGAATCAGCGTCACGTTCCCCTCATCATCCATCGAGCGCCGATTGGTCTAAAGAAATATCTAGTACCATTATGTGCCCTCTGTGCCAGTGTCAAGACACGTTCAGTTTATGGGGAACCAGTCAACTGGACCTGCAGAAGAAACGACCAGAAGTCATAAAGACACCGAAGTCCTGGCGTTGTGACGACTATGTTGTCATGATCCTAGAGGGGCTGAGTGGTGTCGATCTATGGTGTCCTCCTCGAGTTTGGTGGTCCCTGGTTTAAATTCCCCTGGTCTCTGGGTAGTAAGACCGAACGCCCCTGTGTATAGTTGCTCACGTAAAATATCCCTTGGCAGATGGAAATCGAAAAGAGTAATATAACGGCGCTGCCTGAGAAAAATATGGAGTTAAAAATCTCATCATCATCGTGTGCCCTGCCAACCGGCGTAGGCGCTCATGCGTTTCCACAGATCACGATTCCTGGTTGCCTGGAACAGTTCTCTTGATAATATCCCTTCATGCTATTATTTCAGCCCATCCAGCATCATCTCTCTTGGTCTGCCTCTACCCCTGTTTGCACTGATCTTTTCGGTTGTCACGGTGTTCTCCAATGTCTCTCTTCTCATTATGTGGCCAAAAAACAGTGTTTGTTTCTTATTGTTGTATATAAAGATCTACTTTTAATAGCTTCTTTCAAGCAATCTTTGTTAGTTACTCTGGCCGTCCAAGATATTCGTAACATTCATCCCAGAAATCACATCTCTGTTGCTTTTAAATTCTTCCTAATTTGTTCAGTGACATTCCAAGATTCGTTGTCAGACAGCAGAGCAGGTTCCGTGTAACATTCATTAAGTTGAAAATCTTCCTAACGTACTTCATGATCCTCCTGTTTGCTTTCATTTCGTATTTTTAAACATTGGTAAACAATGAAAGGTATTTTAAGGTCTGAAAGATGTGGCTCTGTAGAAAAATTACGAAAATTATGGGACTATCAAAATAAGTCATCTCAGTATTTTTGAAGAGGTTCAGTCATGAATCCAGAGTGTAATGAAGCCAGAGTGTCATGAAGCCAGAGTGTCATGAAGACAGAGTGTCATAAAGCCAGAGTGTCATGAAGACAGAGTGTCATGAAGCCAGAGTGTCATTAAGACAGAGTGTCATGAAGCCAGAGTGTCATGAAGACAGAGTGTCATGAAGACAGAGTGTCATGAAGACAGAGTGTTATGAAGACAGAGTGTCATGAAGACAGAGTGCCATGAAGACAGAGTGTCATGAAGCCAGAGTGTCATGAAGACAGAGTGTCATGAAGACAGAGTGCCATGAAGACAGAGTGTCATGAAGACAGAGTGTCATGAAGAAAGAGTATCATGAAGACAGATTGTCATGAAGCCAGTGTCATGAACACAGAGTGTCATGAAGACATAGTGTCATGAAGCCAGAGTGTCATAAAGACAGAGTGTCATGAAGCCAGAGTGTCATGAAGCCAGAGTGTCATGAAGCCAGAGTGTCATGAAGCCAGAGTGTCATGAGGCCAGAGTGTCATGAAGCCAGAGTGTCACGAAGAAAGAGTGTCATAAAGACAGATTGTCATAAAGACAGATTGTCATGAAGACAGAGTGTGATAAAGATAGAGTGTCATGAAGACAGAGTGTCATGAAGACAGAGTGTCATGAAGCCAGTGTCATGAACACAGAGTGTCATGAAGACATAGTGTCATGAAGACAGAGTGTCATGAAGACAGAGTGTCATGAAGACATAGTGTCATGAAGACAGAGTGTCATGAAGACAGAGTGTCATGAAGACAGAGTGTCATGAAGACAGACAGAGTGTCATGAACACAGAGTGTCATGAAGACATAGTGTCACAGACAAGTGTCATGAAGACAGAGTGTCATGAAGACAGAGTGTCATGAAGACAAGTGTCATGAAGACAGAGTGTCATGAAGACAGAGTGTCATGAAGACAGAGTGTCATGAGACAGAGTGAAGACATGAGACAGTGTCATGAAGCCAGTGTGTCATGAAGACAGAGTGTCATGAAGACAGAGTGTCATGAAGACAGAGTGTCATGAAGACAGAGTGTCATGAAGACAGAGTGTCATGAAGACAGAGTGTCATGAAGACAGAGTGTCATGAAGACAGAGTGTCATGAAGACAGAGTGTCATGAAAGACAGAGTGTCATGAAGACAGAGTGTCATGAAGACAGAGTGTCATGAAGACAGAGTGTCATGAAGACAGAGTGTCATGAAGACAGAGTGTCATGAAGACAGAGTGTCATGAAGACAGAGTGTCATGAAGACAGAGTGTCATGAAGACAGGGTGTCATGAAGACAGGGTGTCATGAAGACAGAGTGACATGTCAAGAGACAGAGTGTCATGAAGACAGAGTGTCATGAAGACAGAGTGTGTCATGAAGACAGAGTGTCATAAAGACAGACAGAGTGTCATGAAGACAGAGTGTCATGAAGACAGAGTGTCATGAAGACAGAGTGTCATGAAGACAGAGTGTCATGAAGACAGAGTGTCATGAAGACAGAGTGTCATGAAGACAGAGTGTCATGAAGACAGAGTGTCATGAAGACAGAGTGTCATGAAAGACAGAGTGTCATAAAGAAGACATGAAGAGTGTCATGAAGACAGAGTGTCATGAAGACAGGGTGTCATGAAGACAGAGTGTCATGAAGACAGAGTGTCATGAAGACAGAGTGTCATGAAGACAGAGTGTCATGAAGACAGAGTGACATGAAGACAGAGTGTCATGAAGACAGAGTGTCATGAAGACAGAGTGTCATGAAGACAGAGTGTCATGAAGACAGAGTGTCATGAAGACAGAGTGTCATGAAGACAGAGTGTCATGAAGACAGAGTGTCATGAAGACAGAGTGTCATGAAGACAGAGTGTCATGAAGACAGAGTGTCATGAAGACAGAGTGTCATGAAGACAGAGTGTCATGAAGACATGTCAAGACAGAGTGTCATGAAGACAGACAGAGTGTCATGAAGACAGAGTGTCATGAAGACAGAGTGTCATGAAGACAGAGTGTCATGAAGACAGAGTGTCATGAAGACAGAGTGTCATGAAGACAGAGTGTCATGAAGACAGAGTGTCATGAAGACAGAGTGTCATGAAGACAGAGTGTCAAGACAGAGTGTCATGAAGACAGAGTGTCATGAAGACAGAGTGTCATGAAGACAGAGTGTCATGAAGACAGAGTGACAGAGTGTCATGAAGACAGAGTGTCATGAAGACAGAGTGTCATGAAGACAGAGTGTCATGAAGACAGAGTGTCATGAAGACAGAGTGTCATGAAGACAGAGTGTCATGAAGACAGAGTGTCATGAAGACAGAGTGTCATGAAGACAGAGTGTCATGAAGACAGAGTGTCATGAAGACAGAGTGTCATGAAGACAGAGTGTCATGAAGACATGAAGACAGACAGACAGAGTGTCATGAAGACAGAGTGTCATGAAGACAGAGTGTCATGAAGACAGAGTGTCATGAAGACAGAGTGTCATGAAGACAGAGTGTCATGAAGACAGAGTGTCATGAAGACAGAGTGTCATAAAGACAGAGTGTCATGAAGACAGAGTGTCATAAAGACAGAGTGTCATGAAGACAGAGTGACATGAAGACAGAGTGTCATGAAGACAGAGTGTCATGAAGACAGAGTGTCATGAAGACAGAGTGTCATGAAGACAGAGTGTCATGAAGACAGAGTGTCATGAAGACAGAGTGTCATGAAGACAGAGTGTCATGAAGACAGGGTGACATAAAGACAGAGTGTCATGAAGACAGAGTGTCATGAAGACAGAGTGTCATGAAAGACAGAGTGTCATGAAGACAGAGTGTCATGAAGACAGAGTGTCATGAAGACAGAGTGTCATGAAGACAGAGTGTCATGAAGACAGAGTGTCATGAAGACAGAGTGTCATGAAGACAGAGTGTCATGAAGACAGAGTGTCATGAAGACAGAGTGTCATGAAGACAGAGTGTCATGAAGACAGAGTGTCATGACAGAGTGTCATGAAGACAGAGTGTCATGAAGACAGAGTGTCATGAAGACAGAGTGTCATGAAGACACATGAAGACAGAGTGTCATGAAGACAGAGTGTCATGAAGACAGAGTGTCATGAAGACAGAGTGTCATAAAGACAGAGTGTCATGAAGACAGAGTGACATGAAGACAGAGTGTCATGAAGACAGAGTGTCATGAAGACAGAGTGTCATGAAGACAGGGTGTCATGAAGACAGGGTGTCATGAAGACAGAGTGTCATGAAGGCAGAGTGTCTTGAATATATTTGAAAACAGTAAGTAATCTACACAAATACAAGAGAAAACTAGAGTGACAACTGTCAAATTTTACATTAACAGACAGAGGAACATTTCAAATCAAATTACGTTATGCCTGTAGTAGTTGCAGGACAGTTGCATGACAGTTGCATGACAGTTGCATGTCAGTTGCAGGACAGTTGCAGGACAGTTGCAGCACACAAACTAGAACATAGGGCTCGACATGGTGTCTGCTCAGTTTTGCTAGAAGGTGTGATACTGGCTGATGACGCAATACTGAAACTGTGTCCCATCGTCAGTGGTCAAGACAGGTGAGTTCAGATAACTGAGAGAGCTAGGAGAAACGAGTTCAAGCCTGACTGTGGTGATATTCTGATACCGATACGGCCGTCGGACCTGAATAAACCACACAGTCATTTAGAGAATACTGACCTGGTTGTGAGTAATGTCAGGCCTATTCAATCTACGAGACACGGCCGTAGGTAGACGCACACACACAAAAGTGTGGTGTCAATGTTTTTGATACAGACAAATATATATCTATGTTGTGTTTGGTACAGTCATATATATGTCTATGTTGTGTTTGGTACAGTCATATATATGTCTGTGTTGTGTTTGGTACAGTCATATATATGTCTGTGTTGTGTTTGGTACAGTCATATATATGTCTGTGTTGTGTTTGGTACAGTCATATATATGTCTATGTTGTGTTTGGTACAGTCATATATATGTCTATGTTGTGTTTGGTACAGTCATATATATGTCTGTGTTGTGTTTGGTACAATCATATATATGTCTATGTTGTGTTTGGTACAGTCATATATATGTCTATGTTGTGTTTGGTACAATCATATATATGTCTATGTTGTGTTTGGTACAGTCATATATATGTCTATGTTGTGTTTGGTACAATCATATATATGTCTATGTTGTGTTTGGTACAGTCATATATATGTCTATGTTGTGTTTGGTACAGTCATATATATGTCTATGTTGTGTTTGGTACAATCATATATATGTCTATGTTGTGTTTGGTACAGTCATATATATGTCTATGTTGTGTTTGGTACAGTCATATATATGTCTATGTTGTGTTTGGTACAGTCATATATATGTCTATGTTGTGTTTGGTACAGTCATATATATGTCTGTGTTGTGTTTGGTACAATCATATATATGTCTATGTTGTGTTTGGTACAGTCATATATATGTCTATGTTGTGTTTGGTACAGTCATATATATGTCTATGTTGTGTTTGGTACAGTCATATATATGTCTATGTTGTGTTTGGTACAATCATATATATGTCTATGTTGTGTTTGGTACAGTCATATATATGTCTATGTTGTGTTTGGTACAATCATATATATGTCTATGTTGTGTTTGGTACAATCATATATATGTCTATGTTGTGTTTGGTACAGTCATATATATGTCTATGTTGTGTTTGGTACAATCATATATATGTCTATGTTGTGTTTGGTACAATCATATATATGTCTATGTTGTGTTTGGTACAGTCATATATATGTCTATGTTGTGTTTGGTACAATCATATATATGTCTATGTTGTGTTTGGTACAATCATATATATGTCTGTGTTGTGTTTGGTACAGTCATATATATGTCTATGTTGTGTTTGGTACAGTCATATATATGTCTATGTTGTGTTTGGTACAGTCATATATATGTCTATGTTGTGTTTGGTACAGTCATATATATGTCTATGTTGTGTTTGGTACAGTCATATATATGTCTATGTTGTGTTTGGTACAATCATATATATGTCTATGTTGTGTTTGGTACAGTCATATATATGTCTATGTTGTGTTTGGTACAATCATATATATGTCTATGTTGTGTTTGGTACAGTCATATATATGTCTATGTTGTGTTTGGTACAATCATATATATGTCTGTGTTGTGTTTGGTACAGTCATATATATGTCTATGTTGTGTTTGGTACAGTCATATATATGTCTATGTTGTGTTTGGTACAGTCATATATATGTCTATGTTGTGTTTGGTACAATCATATATATGTCTGTGTTGTGTTTGGTACAGTCATATATATGTCTATGTTGTGTTTGGTACAGTCATATATATGTCTATGTTGTGTTTGGTACAGTCATATATATGTCTGTGTTGTGTTTGGTACAGTCATATATATGTCTATGTTGTGTTTGGTACAGTCATATATATGTCTATGTTGTGTTTGGTACAGTCATATATATGTCTATGTTGTGTTTGGTACAGTCATATATATGTCTGTGTTGTGTTTGGTACAGTCATATATATGTCTATGTTGTGTTTGGTACAGTCATATATATGTCTATGTTGTGTTTGGTACAGTCATATATATGTCTGTGTTGTGTTTGGTACAGTCATATATATGTCTATGTTGTGTTTGGTACAGTCATATATATGTCTATGTTGTGTTTGGTACAGTCATATATATGTCTATGTTGTGTTTGGTACAATCATATATATGTCTGTGTTGTGTTTGGTACAGTCATATATATGTCTATGTTGTGTTTGGTACAGTCATATATATGTCTATGTTGTGTTTGGTACAGTCATATATATGTCTATGTTGTGTTTGGTACAGTCATATATATGTCTATGTTGTGTTTGGTACAGTCATATATATGTCTATGTTGTGTTTGGTACAGTCATATATATGTCTATGTTGTGTTTGGTACAGTCATATATATGTCTGTGTTGTGTTTGGTACAGTCATATATATGTCTATGTTGTGTTTGGTACAGTCATATATATGTCTATGTTGTGTTTGGTACAGTCATATATATGTCTATGTTGTGTTTGGTACAGTCATATATATGTCTATGTTGTGTTTGGTACAGTCATATATATGTCTATGTTGTGTTTGGTACAGTCATATATATGTCTATGTTGTGTTTGGTACAGTCATATATATGTCTATGTTGTGTTTGGTACAGTCATATATATGTCTATGTTGTGTTTGGTACAGTCATATATATGTCTATGTTGTGTTTGGTACAGTCATATATATGTCTATGTTGTGTTTGGTACAGTCATATATATGTCTATGTTGTGTTTGGTACAGTCATATATATGTCTATGTTGTGTTCTTGCCTAGGTTCGCCGACTTCTTCACTCGACAGATGAAACTGTTCTTGCTGGTGTTCTACTTCTTCGCCGCCGTCTCCATTCTGTGGTTCACCCTGGTCGTCTTCGACATCCTACCCTTCGACAGAGGTAAGCCATTTCACCAGCATACAATATTTGATATAGAGGTCAGCCATTTCACTAGAATACAATATTTGATATAGAGGTCAGCCATTTCACCAGCATACAATATTTGATATAGAGGTCAGCCATTTCACTAGAATACAATATTTGATATAGAGGTCAGCCATTTCACCAGCATACAATATTTGATACAGAGGTAAGGCATTTCACAAGAATACGATATTTGATACAGAGGTAAGGCATTTCACAAGGATACAATATTTGATATAGATGGAGGGTTTCATAAAGACAGGATATTCAATACAGATTAAGGGTTTCACAAAGATAAGATATTTGATACCGATTGAGTGTTTCACAAAGATAAGATATTTGATACAGATTGAGGGTTTCACAAAGATGAGATAGTTTATATAGATAAAGGATTTCATGAAGCTAAGGTGAGGGATTTCATGGGGTTAAGATATTTGACAGAGATAAGGGATAAGGAATTTCATAAAGATTGGATACTTAAAATACGAAAAAGATGTAACATGTCTGTATGTTGGATTTAACATGTCTGTATGTTGAAAGTAACATGTCTGAATGTTGGATGTAAAATGCCCGTATGTTGGATGTAACACGTCTGTATGCTGGATGTAACATGTCTGTATGTTGAATATAACATGTCTGTATGTTGGATGTAACATGTCTGTATGTTGGATGTAACATGTCTGTATGTTGGATGTAACATGTCTGTATGTTGGATGCAGCATGTCTGTATGTTGGATGTAAAATGTCCGTATGTTGGATTAACACGTCTGTATTTTGGAAAAAACACGTCTGTATGTTATATGTAAAACCTCTATATGTTGGAAGTAACATGTCTGTATGTTGAATGTGATACGTCTGTTTGTTGGATGTAACATGCCTGAATACTGGATGTAACATGTTTGTATGTTGGATTAAACATGCCTGTATTTTGGACACAACACATCTGTATGTTGGATGTAACATGTCTGTATGTTGGATGTAACACGTCTGTATGTTGGATGTAACATGTCTGTATGTTGGATGTAACACGTCTGTATGTTGGATATAACATGTCTGTATGTTGGATGTTACATGTCTATATGTTGGATGTAACATGCCTGTATGTTGGATGTAACATGTCTGTATGTTGGAAGTAACATTCTTTATGTTGGATGTAATATGTCTGTATATTGGATATAACACATCTGTATGTTGAATGTAACATGTCTGTATGTTAGATGTAAAATGTCTATATGTGGATGTAACATGTCTAGATGTTGGATGTAACATGTCTGTATGTTGGATGTAACACGTCTGTATGTTGGATGTAACATTTATTTATGTTGGAAGTAACCCAGTAACAACTGTATTTCGGCAGTCAGCATGTATGCAGCAATCATAATCGGCGGGGTGTTCCTGGACGGAGGCGGCCCATTGTTTTTTGAGCTGACGATTGAGGTGTCCTACCCCGTGGGCGAGGGCGTGACCTCCGGGTTCACGCAGATGTTGTGTGCAGCTGCCGGCATTGTCTTCTTGAGTGTGGTACAGGTGGAGTCATTGGGTGAGTGATTGCGTCATCTTGAGTGTGGTACAGGTGGAGTCATTGGGTGAGTGCGTCATCTTGAGTGTGGTACAGGTGGAGTCATTGGGTGAGTGATTGCGTCATCTTGAGTGTGGTACAGGTGGAGTCATTGGGTGAGTGCGTCATCTTGAGTGTGGTACAGGTGGAGTCATTGGGTGAGTGATCGCGTCATCTTGAGTGTGGTACAGGTGGAGTCATTGGGTGAGTGATCGCGTCATCTTCAGTGTGGTACAGGTGGAGTCACTGAGTGAGTGATTGCGTCATCTTGAGTGTGGTACAGGTGGAGTCATTGGGTGAGTGATCGCGTCATCTTCAGTGTGGTACAGGTGGAGTCACTGAGTGAGTGATCGCGTCATCTTAAGTATGCTAAGCTCTTCCCATCTATCTATCTATCTATCTATCTATCTATCTATCTATCTATCTATCTATCTATCTATCTATCTATCTATCTATCTATCTATCTATCTATCTATCTATCTATCTATCTATCTATCTATCTATCTATCTATCTATCTATCTATCTATCTATCTATCTATCTATCTATCTATCTATCTATCTATCTATCTATCTATCTATCTATCTATCTATCTATCTATCTATCTATCTATCTATCTATCTATCTATCTATCTATCTATCTATCTATCTATCTATCTATCTATCTATCTATCTATCTATCTATCTATCTATCTATCTATCTATCTATCTATCTATCTATCTATCTATCTATCTATCTATCTATCTATCTATCTATCTATCTATCTATCTATCTATCTATCTATCTATCTATCTATCTATCTATCTATCTATCTATCTATCTATCTATCTATCTATCTATCTATCTATCTATCTATCTATCTATCTATCTATCTATCTATCTATCTATCTATCTATCTATCTATCTATCTATCTATCTATCTATCTATCTATCTATCTATCTATCTATCTATCTATCTATCTATCTATATCTATCTATCTATCTATCTATCTATCTATCTATCTATCTATCTATCTATCTATCTATCTATCTATCTATCTATCTATCTATCTATCTATCTATCTATCTATCTATCTATCTATCTATCTATCTATCTATCTATCTATCTATCTATCTATCTATCTATCTATCTATCTATCTATCTATCTATCTATCTATCTATCTATCTATCTATCTATCTATCTATCTATCTATCTATCTATCTATCTATCTATCTATCTATCTATCTATCTATCTATCTATCTATCTATCTATCTATCTATCTATCTATCTATCTATCTATCTAAGTAGGTAGGTAGGTAGGTATGTATGTATGTATGTATGTATGTATGTATGTATGTATGTATGTATGTATGTATGTATGTATGTATGTATGTATGTATGTATGTATGTATGTATGTATGTATGTATGTATGTATGTATGTATGTATGTATGTATGTATGTATGTATGTATGTATGTATGTATGTATGTATGTATGTATGTATGTATGTATGTATGTATGTATGTATGTATGTATGTATGTATGTATGTATGTGTGTATGTATGTATGTATGTATGTGTGTGTATGTATGTATGTTTGTATATGTGTGTGTGCATGTTCGTATGTATGTGGATGTGTGTGTATTGGGTGCATATGTGTGTGTGTGTGTGTGTGAGTGAATGGGTTTGCGTGCGTATGTGGGTGTGTGTGTTCGCGCGCTAGCGTGCGCACATTCTCTACCACCCATGCTTTTGTTTTTGACTTGATATTCAAAATATGCATATTATTACCCGAACATAACATGCTTTCTTGATGACATACAACTGCTGTGTGAAAGATGGGAGTTTGGAAAGGCCGAATGTAAGACAGGCCTGTGTGCCAAATTTGTAACTCTTTGAAAATAAAGTTCGTTCGTTCGTTCTATCTATCTATTGTATCTAATCTTTCTGTCTGTCTGTCTGTCTGTCTGTCTGTCTGTCTGTCTGTCTGTCTGTCTGTCTGTCTGTCTGTCTGTTTGTATGTCGTTCGTTCTTTTTGTCTGTCTTCTTAATGTGGTACAGGTTGAGTAGTTGGGTGAGTGATTGTGTCGCCTTGACAAGGAATTAACCCCAAAACTAGCTCTCTCTGTCTATCCTTCTCTCTCTGTCTCTCCTTCTCTCTTTGTCTCTCCTTCTCTGTTTCCCCTTCTCTCTCTCTCTCTGTCTCTCCTTCTCTCTCTGTCTCTCTTTCTCCCTCAAAGTGTTGGAGCGAGGTGTGTGGGTATTGTAAGAGAAACGTGAGATGGAAGAACATTGAAGAGCAAATGGTATGGGGGAGTTGGCGAGTTAGCGTATGTTGGGAAGATAAAAGAGATAAAAAAGATTAGAAAAAAAAGAACAGATGCGTGCCTAGAAGGGAACCAGAATTAAAGATGAGGTAGAGTGTAATCAGAAAACAGAGGACGCAGATCAAGAACATAATAACTATGGGGAAAAGAGGAGTGTGGATTGTGAGAGACAGACAGGGAAGAGGAGAATAGATTGTGAGAGACAGACAGGGAAGAGGGGAATAGATTGTGAGAGACAGACAGGGAAGAGGGGAATAGATTGTGAGAGACAGACAGGGAAGAGGGGAATAGATTGTGAGAGACAGACAGTGAGAGAATGGTCACTATAAACTCCTGATGTCTGACTCACTAACGGCCCTATTCTAACGGCTCCACTCTAAAGTAGTAATTCCCTGAATGTTGCAGGCAAAGAATGGATCAACTGGTACTTCTTCGGCTGTGTGGCCATGGCTATACCGCCCTTGTTCTTCATCAGCACCACCTTCGGGCGAGCTGACCTCGACGACGCAGACGAAGAGGAGGACGAGGTGGCGGGGGAGGTTGTGTCAGCCGACACTGACGAAAAGACCTATCTGTTTGGGAGCTCGCATGTTTGATCTTTGGGGCCGTTAGTTTGTGGGCCAGATGTCTGTGGGCCGTTAGTCTGTGGGCCAGATGGCTGTGAGCCGTTAGTCTGTGGGCCAGATGTCTGTGGGCCGTTAGTTTGTGGGCCAGATGTCTGTGGGCCGTTAGTTTGTGGGCCAGATGTCTGTGGGCCGTTAGTCTGTGGGCTAGATGTCTGTGGGCCGTTAGTCTGTGGGCCAGAAAAAAAAGGGGGCGGGGGAATATTTTGTGGTATAACAGTGTGTGTTATAACAGTGTTTGGGAGAACAGTGGGTGGGAGAACAGTGTGTGGCATAACAGTGTGTGGGAGAACAGTGTTTGGGAGAACAGTGTGTGGGAGAACAGTGTGTGGGAGAACTGTGTTTGGGAGAAACAGTGTTTGGGAGAACAGTGTGTGGGAGAACAGTGTTTGAGAGAACAGTGTTTGGGAGAACAGTGTTTAGGGGAACAGTGTGTGGGAGAACAGTGTTTGGTGTGTGGGAGAACAGTGTGTGGGAGAACAGTGTGTTGGAGAACAGTGTGTGGGAGAACAGTGTTTAGGAGAACAGTGTTTGGTGTGTGGGAGAACAGTGTTTGGAAGAACAGTGTTTGGGAAAAAGTGTGTAGGAGAACAGTGTGTGGGAGAACAGTGTGTGGGAGAACAGTGTGTGGGAGAACAGTGTGTGGGAGAACAGTGTGTGGGAGAACAGTGTGTGGGAGAACAGTGTGTGGGATAACAATGTTTAGGAGAACAGTGTTTGGTGTGTGGCAGAACAGTGTTTAGGAGAACAGTGTTTTGGAAAAAGTGTGTAGGAGAACAGTGTTTGGTGTGTGGCAGAACAGTGTTTAGGAGAACAGTGTTTTGGAAAAAGTGTGTAGGAGAACAGTGTTTGGTGTGTGGCAGAACAGTGTTTAGGAGAACAGTGTTTGGGAAAAAGTGTGTAGGAGAACAGTGTGTGGGAGAACAGTGTGTGGGAGAACAGTGTGTGGGAGAACAGTGTGTGGGAGAACAGTGTGTGGGATAACAATGTTTAGGAGAACAGTGTTTGGGAGAACAGTGTGTGGGAGAACAGTATGTGGCATAACAGTGTGTCGGTAGAACAGTGTTTAGGAGAACAGTGTGTGTGAGAACAGTGTTTGGGAGAATAGTGTTTGGGACAATAGTGTTTGGGAGAACAGTGTGTGGGACAATAGTGTTTGGGAGAACTGTGTATGGGAGAATAGTGTTTGGGAGATCAGTGTGTAGGAGAACAGTGTTTAGGAGAACAGTGTGTGTGAGAACAGTGTTTGGGAGAATAGTGTTTGGGACAATAGTGTGTGGGAGAACGGTGTGTGGGAGAACAGTGTTTGGGAGAATAGTGTTTGAAACAATAGTGTGTGGGAGAACGGTGTGTGTGAGAACAGTGTTTGGGAGAATTGTGTTTGGGACAATAGTGTGTGGGAGAACGGTGTGTGTGAGAACAGTGTTTGGGAGAACAGTGTTTGGGACAATAGTGTGTGGGAGAACGGTGTGTGTGAGAACAGTGTTTGGGAGAACAGTGTTTGGGACAATAGTGTGTGGGAGAACGGTGTGTGTGAGAACAGTGTTTGGGAGAACAGTGTTTGGGACAATAGTGTGTGGGAGAACGGTGTGTGGGAGAACAGTGTTTGGGAGAATAGTGTTTGGGACAATAGTGTGTGGGAGAACGGTGTGTGTGAGAACAGTGTTTGGGAGAATAGTGTTTGGGAGAATAGTGTTTGGGAGAATAGTGTTTGGGAGAATAGTGTTTGGGAGAATAGTGTTTGGGAGAACAGTGTTTGGGAGAATAGTGTTTGGGAGAATAGTGTTTGGGAGAATAGTGTTTGGGAATCAGCGATAATGAATCATATTTGTTTGATGTGTGTCGGTAACAGTTATCAACATGTTTATTGGTAAAGGTTTAACAAGGTCCAGACAAACAATCACAATATGGAGCAAGCTCGCATTCTTCCTATCAGACAGAGACTCTTGGTTGTGACAAATCTACCTATCAGAGACTCTTGGTTGTGACAAATCTACCTATCAGAGACTCTTGGTTGTGACAAATCTACCTATTAGAGACTCTTGGTTGTGACAAATCTACTTATCAGAGACTCTTAGTTGTGACAAATCTACCTATCAGAGACTCTTAGTTGTGACAAATCTACCTATCAGGGATACATGGTTGTGATTAATCAACCTGTTAGTGATTCTTGGTTGTGAGAAATCTACCTTTTTGAGATTTTAGGTTGTGATTGTGACAAATCTACCTATCAGAGACTCTTGGTTGTGACAAATCTAACTATCAGAGACTCTTGGTTGTGACAAATCTACCTGTCAGTGATTCCTGTTTGTAACAAATCTACCTGCCAGTGATTCCTGCTTGTAACAAATCTACCTGCCAGTGATTCCTGCTTGTAACAAATCTACCGATCAGTGATTCCTGCTTGTAACGAATCTACCTCTCAGAGATTCCTGTTGTGAAAAATCGATTAACATTATGTGTGAGATAAATCTACTAGTGTGTGATTATTTTTTTGTAATAAACCAGTTAACATGATTAAATGTTGTTATAAAAAGGTATAGTTCATTCCCAAGTCTGTCTAAATTTGTTTTGTGGTCGCTGACAAATAAAATTGACATAATGCTTTTTTGGGGGTTTGAAATTATTTGTCTTGTTTATGTATGCACTGTGGAACCTGGCTTCTGGGACAGCCTGACTTGTTTATGTATGCACAGTAGAACCTGGCTTCTGGGACAGTCTGACTTGATTATGTATGCACAGTAGAACCTGGCTTCTGGGACAGTCTGACTTGATTATGTATGCACAGTGGAACCTGGCTTCTGGGACAGTCTGACTTGATTATGTATGCACAGTGTAACCTGGCTTCTGGGACAGCCTGACTTGTTTATGTATGCACATTAGAACCTGGCTTCTGGGACAGTCTGACTTGATTATGTATGCACAGTAGAACCTGGCTTCTGGGACAGTCTGACTTGATTATGTATGCACAGTAGAACCTGGCTTCTGGGACAGTCTGACTTGATTATGTATGCACAGTGCAACCTGGCTTCTGGGACAGCCTGACTTGTTTATGTATGCACAGTAGAACCTGGCTTCTGGGACAGTCTGACTTGATTATGTATGCACAGTAGAACCTGGCTTCTGGGACAGTCTGACTTGATTATGTATGCACAGTGGAACCTGGCTTCTGGGACAGTCTGACTTGATTATGTATGCACAGTGGAACCTGGCTTCTGGGACAGTCTGACTTGATTATGTATGCACAGTAGAACCTGGCTTCTGGGACAGTCTGACTTGATTATGTATGCACAGTGGAACATGGCTTCTGGGACAGTCTGACTTGATTATGTATGCACAGTGGAACCTGGCTTCTGGGACAGTCTGACTTGATTATGTATGCACAGTAGAACCTGGCTTCTGGGACAGTCTGACTTGATTATGTATGCACAGTAGAACCTGGCTTCTGGGACAGTCTGAATTGTTTATGTATGCACAGTAGAACCTGGCTTCTGGGACAGTCTGACTTGATTATGTATGCACAGTGGAACCTGGCTTCTGGGACAGTCTGACTTGATTATGTATGCACAGTAGAACCTGGCTTCTGGGGCTGCCTGACTTGATTATGTATGCACAGTAGAACCTATCTTTTCGGACACCTCTCTTCTAACAAAATTCAGTTTCGGAAGATTTGTTACTAGAAAAACACTTGGGTCCTGCAAAAAACCATGGTCTCTAAACTACCAATTTCGTAGAAGGTGACTCGTTAAAGGAGTTCCCTTCAAAGTTGGGGTGTATCTGCCTGAGGGTGCCAGGAACCAACAGTCTGCATATTAATATGTGAAATCTGTAAAACGAATTTACGCGCTAAATTCGAACTCTGGATCATGACCAATATCCAGAAGTGGGCGAACAGACAGAACTTTCCTACGGTGTTACAGCCGATGAAAGCTAACAGGAAGAAGGTCAACAATAAGAATAAATATTCTAACATAATTTACACAACGTCAACACACAAACAACACATCATATACATAAGGTCAACACATAAACAACACATCATATACATAAAGTCAACACACAAACAACACATCATATACATAACGTTAACACACAAACAACACATCATATACATAAAGTCAACACACAAACGCTTTATGACTATGTTTTCGAACGAACGAACGAACTTTATTTTCAAAGGGTCACAAATTGGGCACGCAGGCCCGTCTTACATTCGGCCCTTCCAGTCAACCATCTTTCGCACAGCAGTTGTATTTTTTACTAATAAAGCATGTTATAATCATATGATAATATGCATATTATAAATAATATAAAAGAACACAAAAGCATGAGTTGTAAAGTGCATGCAAAAAACCCGCGCGTGCATACATACACCCACATACACACGATCACCCACTCACACACACATACATACATGCAAACATTACATACATACATATATACGTACATACATACAAACAAACATGCAAACAGGCATACACACAGGCATACATACATACAAACAAACATACATAGATACAAACATACAGGCATACATTCGTAATACAGGCATACACACATACAAACATACAGTCATAAATACAGTCATGCATGGAGACACTCCCACAAAGACACACGCTCACTTGGACAAAAATACAGACTCTTACATATAAACACACACAGGAAAACACACAGCACACATATTTACATTCGTGCTCACACACTTACACACACACCACACACACACACGCAGACAAACATGCAGACACATACATACAGCACATAGACACACACGCAGTCAAACACACACACACACACACACAAAACAAACAGGCAGACAAACACAATCTGACACCCACACTGACAAACACGCAGAAATGCATACACATACAAACACATAGAAATACACACGCAGACACATATATTCAGCACGCACAGACATATACTCTGACATGCAGACACATACAGACAACAAAGGGGCACACACAATACAC